TAAATTTAGTTAAATTTAGTTAAATTTAGTTAAATTTAAAGTTAAATTTTACTTAAGTTTCATAAACAATACTTACATCATCAGTGGAGGAGGAAACAGGACTAAAATAAATCCCAAGAGTTGAAGATGATGGACGATATTCATCAGTTTCCATACGACTTCTATTTCTTGAGCAATCTTTTAAACTTTACAGTAAGTACTTTCAAATGATTTTAAACTGTCACATAATTAAGTTCAACCTTAAGTTTACTTTTTACCAGGATATATTTTTGTTAAAGAACTGATGAAAGATTAAAATAAATCAGTGGACGAAACTAAATAAAAAATTACTATATCTATGCAAAACTTTCAAATTTAAAATCCCGTTTCACCACTAAATATGTGTACAACCAAATTTGCAAAAATTTACTATGTTTAAAAATTTAAACATTGCTAAAATTTTGCATATTAATTTACCTTCAGAATTAAAATCATCAATATCTTCATAATCTGACAATGATTCCACCGATTCTTCTTGTGTTGAATCCCAATCATCCATACCATCGTAGCTAACTGATGTTGTAAATATCGGTGCTGGTACTGCCAAAATTTTGGAAACACGTCCGCGATTGTCATCATTTCTGCAAAAAAAAAAAAATTGTTAATAAAAAATAGGAACAAAAAAAATGATATTTTTATTTCTTTTCTCCTTAAAAATTTTTTCCAGTTTCTTTTTTCTTTTTAGTGCAATCATTAATAATTGCCAAAAGTTATTCTCTACTCAATCTGAAAAATAAAAAAAGAACAATAAAAAATAACCTTGTTGGTGCTTCAACAATAAATTCGTCGTTAAAATCATTTTCATAATAAGGAATGGGTGAGAGAGAGCGTTCCGATAACGGAACCGAAAAAAAATTGCCTTAAAAGAAGAAAATTTTTGATCCAACAATTTTTTTTACTTTTTTTTATAATTCCAAAAAATATTCTATTCTACTACAAACTCATGCAAGAAATTTCAATTAATCGAGATTACATTTTAATTTTTCTTTTAAATTATAAACATAAACAAAATATTGTTGCTAACTTTTAACTTAGTGCCTTAATTAAATTGCAACTTTTGGAAACTAATTTTTAATTCAGTATTTACGTTGGATTGAAAAAAGGAAACTTTTTAGGGCCCTCTTTTGCTACTTACTCACCATTAATTTAGAAAAAAAACGATGAAGGCTGGCTGAATTCATTTAGGGCATTAGAAAGCAACCTCTTGGCTTCCTTTCCATTTTGTCATCATCCGTTTGCAATTCGATTGTTTCCGAAACGGTCATATCATTTTCAAAATTATTCTCATCCATACTTAATAGCATTTGATTTTCTGCAAAAATATTAGCAATTCTTATTTAATATCTTAAATTATTTATTGTAGTTTCAAATTTTACAATAGATAAGAATAATTAATTGGTACATACCTTTTATTATTAAACCATTTACTTTTTTTAACATTAAAAAACAATAGGTATAAAATATATTCTTGAAAAAGTTAATAAATTGAAATTTTTAATTTCTGATCAAACCTGCGCAATCATTATCATCCTCCTTGGTTTGTATCATATCAAAATTACCATTGTTATCGAATATAAATTCGGCGGTAAAATAATTTGGTGAAGTTTGTGTCGATGGTTGTGTAACAAGCAATAATGGTGGTTTTCGATTAATCGGATTTTGCTAAATTAAAAAAAAATACTGTTAATGCAAAAAAAAAAATTATTAAAGTTAAAATTAAACTCCAAAATTTGAACTTTTATTTATCAAAATATAAATGACAATTATACACAGTTATATCAATCTGATTAAAGTGAATGATTCAATCAATTTGGTATTTTCAAATCCGTCTCAAACAATTTAAGCTTTGGAGGCATTAATAATGAAATGATATGCAAATTATACAATAATTAATTAGTGTGATATTTGGTGAATTTTGAACTATTGATCAGAATTGAAGGAGATGTAAAAGAATAAAAATCATCACTGATAGTTTATATTTTAACACTATGTATTTTTAAATTTGTTTTTTTCATTTAAATTTACAGATAAATAATTATTACTTTTTTTTCCACTTCTTCTTTCTCTTTCTCTTCATTTAGTTTCTCTTCTTCATCCTCCTCTTCATCCTCCTCTTCCTCTTCCTCTTCCTCTTCCTCTTCATATTCCTCTTCCTCTTCCCCTTCGTCTTCTTCTTCATCTTTTAATTGCTCGTCATTCACTTCATTTTCTATGACGACTTTATCTGTTTCAGTAGTTATTCTGGTTTTTTCCATATCTTGAACCTTTAAAAATATACATAATGAAAGATTTCTGATCAAATCTTATTTTGAATTATCGTAATTAAATTTAAATTGAAACAGTATCACATTTTGATATTATACAATTGAAAAATCACAGTGACATAGTCGCTATTTTTTTGTACGTTAAAAAAAGATAGCCGGATATAAATTCTTATTTACGTCACAAATTAGCTAGTTCACTGGTACGTATAGTTATCCGTAAAGAATCAGTAAATCTGATGCACAAATGGAACATTTGTATATGCCTATGTATAGATACCGAATAAATGCACACATTTTCCGTATCTATACGTAAAGATACGTAAATGTATCGATGCAAAAATCATTGCCATTTGTGAATGAATAGACGCGAAATTTGCACATTTGCGTGTATCGATGCAAAATCAATTGTCATTCATGCGTAAATGCGGAATTGATGATACATTTGCGTATCGATGCAGAAACGTTATGCATTTGTGCATGAATGCGGAATTGATACAATTACGCATAGTCATACTACTATCGCAAGTGAAATGAATTAGTGAAAGGCTGGATGGATAATGAATAAAATTTAAAAATGCATCACCGTAAAAAATGATTCAGCATCCAAATTATCCGTTGTGCGCTGCTGCTGATCGTTAGCGGATTTTAATCTTTGATCACCTACAACGGAATATAAATAATTCAATAATTTCCAAAAAGCAAACTATCTTTTTTTTCTCTTAGAAGTATAAAAATTTTTTGAAGTCAGAAAAAAGGGAAGGAACAAGCGAAGAAAAATGAAGATAAGAGAAGGAAAAAGGAATGAATTTGAATAAAATGCCAAAAGGAAACAATTAAAAAAAGTGATGATAAATTAGACATTTTGCGAAGATAATTGAAATAATACAATTGCTCAATTAATCATTTTGTTTGATGAATAAATTTAGAAGAAGCTTTGGATGAAAAATGTATATTAGATTTAAAAAAATTCCGTAAATTCTAGCCAAAATTGCTAGTCTAATTTTTGTTGATGATATTTTATCAATTATTAAAGCCACAGATTGCAATATCTGCCTTTTATACTTTTCACTTAAACTAATGAGTGATAGTGTTTGATAAAGATTTTAATAAAATCATTGAAATAATAATGTAGAATTTTCAGAACTTCGTAATAAAGTTTAAAATTTTCTCCAAATATTGAATTGAAAAAAGCTATCGCATTAAAAAAGATTTTTACTGAAATTTGATTGAAAATTTACAAAAATTTCCATAAAAATTTTAAATATTCGCAATAAATGTTGTTGAGAAATATAGGGACATTAGTAGGATGAAATTTCATAATCAAATAATTGTATATTGGAAATACTTTACGGTGCCGAATCTTGAATATACTTCAATTCAATAGAAAAATGCAATTAAAAAAAACTATCCAAACAAATAATTACTATTTATCAATATCAACGAAAATTTTTATTATTTGAAATTACTCTCCCATTTGTTATATTTTTGCAATTTTTTATCTTTTCTAATCTCACTTTCAATATATTTCTTATTAATTAATCCTCCGTCAGATTATTTTATCCGACAAATGAGAGAAACAGCGATAAAGTTAGCAATTTCTATAAAAATATACATTTCAATGCAAATTTCAAATTTTTGAAGTACAAAGACAAAAAAAGCGATTGAATAAACTAAAATTTCCTGTAATTTTTTTCTTTGATTTTCTTTACAGAAACAAGATTTTTTTTAGTTTTATACTTTTTTAGCGCAACAACTTCAAAAATTTTTTGCTCTTCTTCTAAATGAATGATTTAAATAAAGTAAATTTTAAGCAAAATTATAATTTCCTTTTTAAAGATATTTTAATGTATGCAAATAAATTGAATGAATAGATAAATTTTAAGCAATGTAAATGTGATTTAAAAACAGCAAAAAGGAGCCTTCGATGAAAAATAGTGAGCATTTTATTGATTATTTTTACTTCGCATACATCATTTTCTATTTATTCAAAGTATATCATCAAATTTTTTTATTTCATTTTTTTTCCTTCTCTCTCTCTTTTCCCTTTCTCACTCTCTCGTCTTTGCTTGTTAGCTATTTTCATTTCTGAAAATCAGAAAAAAAGAGTGAAAATTTTTAAATAATGTAGAGAATATAATTCGTAATCAATCGTATTACTTTTAACTATTTTTGTTTCAAGATTTTTTATAAAATATAGATAAGAATAATTAATTGGTACATACCTTTTATTATTAAACCATTTACTTTTTTTAACATTAAAAAACAATAGGTATAAAATATATTCTTGAAAAAGTTAATAAATTGAAATTTTTAATTTCTGATCAAACCTGCGCAATCATTATCATCCTCCTTGGTTTGTATCATATCAAAAATTATTTCAATATTTATTACCCTTTTACACAACATTTTATTTTATTTCTTATATTCATAGACACACTCACAAATACATACAAGAGACTTATAAAAAAAAAAAAAACCTTCTTCAAACTTGCAGCATACATTTTTATAATATTTTAGTTTCAATGTTGGTTGGAAAAAAAAAACTGGAATTTCTGGATGCTAATCTAATCAGTAAGAAATGTCAATATATAATGAACAGCAGAATGAAGTAAAGGAGTAACATGAAAAGTGGATAAATAGGGAAATTTTCAAATATTGATAGTATGCTATATATTCAATGCTCAGATCAGTAAAATGGCATGTAAATAACAAGTAAGTAAATAAATAGATTTACCTGACGATTTGAATGATAGTTCTGGAACATCCACATTATTATTATTGTGTTTCATTTCCTGCAATGGTTGCTTTGTAATTCTTTTTTTTTGGAATTATTTAAATGAAATTGATAAACTACAATCAATTTACTTTAAATTTTTTACATTTGAATATGCTTTATTCACAATATTTGATCTAATCATTCTTAATATAGTGATAAAATTAATTTTATTTTTCTATTTATTCAAATACCATTCCGTTTGTTCAACTCACAATAATAATAATGATAATAATAATGATAATAATAATGAT